TTTACATGTTGTAAAACGGCCACCATGTTTTTGTTCGTCATCTCAGACTCGTTACAGGAATCTGAATCAGCTGACCCAACTTCTGAGAGGATGAGTTCATTTGGAGCTACCTAGTAGCTTCACCTGGTTTGTTCACCTAAACGTTTCCTGGTTACCTTGTTAAAGGATTTGATTTAGTTTCTGAACGAGTCTGTAGGTCAGAGCTGCTGTGGGCGTGCCCGCTGGTGGCTGCAGAGGCTCCGCTAGGCCGCGGTCACCTGCGGTACGTCTCCTCCTGGCAGATTGACCTGATGCGTGGTGACACGCTGGCTGCTGCAGATGTTGGCTAACGCGCGGCTCAGCCCTTCGACCTGACACGGATTAGCTTACTGACATGTTAAACGTGTTGGTTTAGCCCCGTTTCCACAGAGCAGCCGGCCGGGCCAGATGGTTCTGCTGGGACCCAGATGGCCTCTGGTGTAAACACACCAGGGACGTGTGTGTGTGTGTTTTCGTATGCGTGCCGAGGAATTAGCAGCAACATGGATACGTTTTACTGGTTTCTGGTGGCTGTTGGGATGTGAACTTTCCTTTACCGGGTCAGTAAAGCGTCTGTCACCACAAACTAGAACAAGAGACTAAAAGTGAACAAGGTCCAGTCCTAGTTTAGAGCCTTTGTGGAGCTCTACATACTCTATTTCAGCGGTTTTTCCAGCTCCACTCAGCAGATGAATGAGCAGCAGGAGCGTTGGGTCAAACCCAGCAGCTCTAGATCACCCGAAGAGCTGCAGACTGGTTACGGGTTACCTGTGAAGCAGGTGGTGTCCATTAAAGAGGTTAAAGCAAGTGATTGAAACCTTCTTCCAGGTCATCCTTCACCTCGTCAGCATCACGCCGACGTTACCAGACCGCTAAAACGGTAAAAGCTGCTCGCAGATAAACTCCAGCTGGCCAGACGTCATCGTCCTGCAGCGCTGCTGGCATATGGAGGCAGAGATTACACGGGTCATCGTGTGACCTGGTGACTTGTTTTGTTAATCTCATTCTAGCTCATTACACCTAAAAAACCAAACCCGGCGTGTTTCAGGTGAGTGGGAAACGGGACTAGGTGAAGAATCCTGCTTTTTAACAGCATCTGTTCCTGAATATGAGTCATAAATTCATGCTTGGACCTCTCAGCGGTGCTGAGAAGCTCTGGTGGCTGTCTGACCTGTGATTGGGGGAGTTTTACACCAGTTTGACAGCGTTTTTATAGATATGTGCCCTTCTGCTTAAAGCCCTCAGTTGTTTTTAACAGTTCAGTTAAATAAAAATAAGTGGAAGAAAGTGAAGCTGGAATGTGAGAGTAAGGAACTAGCTAGGAGGTGTGTTTGCTCTCGCTGGATGTCCGTTACTATGGAGTCGTTTCTTGTTCTCCAGGAGGCAGACACGGATGACAACCAGGGGACGCTGGGCTTCGAGGAGTTCTGCTCGTTTTACAAGATGATGTCGACCCGCAGGGATCTGTACCTCCTCATGCTCACCTACAGCAACCACAAGGATCACCTCGACACGGATGACCTCACCCGCTTCCTGGAGAACGAGCAGAAGGTCCGCCTGCATCTGCTCGCTTGTCTGTGTCGCCGTTGCCATCTCAGAACCCCATCATGTCTGATGCAGCCGGGCCCTAGGGAGTGTTTTAGTTTAAGCTTCTGCGTCTTGTGATGTTTGTTTTTGGTTTAAAATATAGAAATACATGAAATAGATTTCCTAAAAACAGAAGTAAAATCTACCTTAAAATCAGCTGAAAAGCTGCAGGACAGCCGTGTGTCTGAAAACGTGTTTTACACATTAAACACTTCGTCCCTTTTATGGACTTTTGCCTAACTTGAGCTACACGCTGATGTTTAGCTCCGTTTAAATCAAGCTGAACCTTTTAGCTTTGTTTTGTTACCGTGAATCAAAAATTGCTTCTATAAAAGTTCCAACGCTCTTGTTTTAGTGTTTTAGTGCAGCTCTGGTTCCTGTAGAGGGACTGGCGGCGCTTTCACGTCTGGGCCAGCAACAACCGGACTCCGTAGCTTTTAGAGGGTTCACATCTAGGTGGCCTCGTATTTCTCCGTGCTCAGGCGGTCGGTTGTTCAGCCCACACGCCGTGGCGGTCTGCTTCAGGCTGAACCGGTCCAACACACACACACCATCTACCACCTGATTGGCCGGCCCAAATACACGCCCACCGATAGGGGGAGCTTCTGATTGGTGGATAAAAGCTTCCCGCGTGCGCGACTCATTATCGTCCTGGATAAGAAGTAAACTTGGGGCTGGGCACATTCATGTCCCTTTAGAAGCTGCACTACCCCGAGTCACGTAAAAATGCACGTGACAGCCCCATCTAGTGGACTGCTTCTGCGCATACCTGTACTTGTCGTTGTTGGGGTAAAACCCTCAATATGCCGTAAAGATCTTAGGTCTTATCGCTTCGCCCCACTCTGACTGAAGCTGCAGCAGCTCTCTCTCTCCTCACTGCTGAGGAGCACACACACACACACACACACACACACATGCCTTGAGCTGCGCAGCCACGTCTTTGCCCCGCCCACCGTTCGGAGATTTCCGTGTGTGTGTCTTGGTGAAGGACTTGGTTTGTGAAGCAGACGGCTTCACGATGCTGTTTAGTGAATCCCGTAACTTCTGGTCCTCTAAAGATAAATGCAGGAGTCTCGTTAATAGTTGTGGTCGTAAAATGTCCCTCGTGAGCTTCCACAGAGACGTGTTTCTGGTTAATATTCATCGTTTCTGCTGCGGTTCAGTCGGTCCAACGCTTAATTGAGAAGGGAAACTTAGGAGTTTCATCCCTGAAGGATGCTGGCTTTCGGCCCACCACGGCACGTCGCTGAAGCGGGAACACGTGTTTTGTTTTTGGACGATGAATATTAGCGCTGGCACACCTTTTAGATCTTCTATCCACCTGCATGTTTTATCCATAGTGTCAGATTAAAATGGGATTAAAATCTCTTGTGGCTGAAATGGACACAAACACAGCACGAGGACTTCCTGTCAGAGGGAAGTGACCTCCTTTATTTATTGATTCTCAAAGCTGTGATTGGCCCGAGCGGAGCGGTAAAGAGCAGCTGCCAGGCGCCGCTGGCGCTTGCATCCAGACGGGGCAGCGCCGTGTCCATCATCGTCTGGGTTAATCGTTAGGCACTGCTTCATGAACCTGTCTAGTTACCGTCTGACTGGTGGCTTTGCAGATGACCAAGGTGACCAAGGATCATTGTCTGGAGATCATCAACAAATTTGAACCCTGTTCTGAGAACCAGCAGCAGGCGGTTCTGGGGATCGATGGTGAGTCTACTTACATGTCATGTACGTGTTTTGTGTTTGGGAGTAATCATCTACCTTATTGCATGATACCATCTTGAGTCCTTGGTGGGAAAAGTAACCATTCCTGTATGATTTTAGTGAATAAAAGCAGATTATTGTGATGGTGGTGTGTTTTAATCCCAGCAGGGAAAGAAACTGATATCTGTCCTTAATCATAAATGAAAGTCCACCTCATTCCTCTGAGCTACTGGCTTGATCAGTCACTTCCTGGTCAGAACTGGTTATGAAATCCTCCACTTTGGACTCCTCGGCTGTAATTTAGCGTCCATCTTTTGTCTCCTTTTAAACATAAACATTCTTGTTTTAGGTTTCACTAATTACATGCGCAGCCCAGCTGGAGACATCTTCAACCCAGAACACTACAGCGTGAACCAGGACATGACCCAGCCGCTGTCCAACTACTTCATTGCCTCATCGCACAACACGTACCTGATGGGGGACCAGCTGATGTCTCAGTCCAGGGTAGACATGTACGCCTGGGTGCTGCAGGCCGGCTGTCGCTGTGTGGAAGGTCAGCGGCTCGCACACCGGTCAGACGGTGGCCCTGAACGGCGACGCTTAAACTCCTGCTCTGTTTGAATTTCCAGTGGACTGCTGGGACGGTCAGGACGGAGAGCCCATCGTGCACCACGGCTACACCCTCACCTCCAAGATCCTCTTCAAGGACGTCATTGAGACCATCAATAAATACGCCTTCGCCAAGAACGAGTACGTCTAAACACTTTGAGCATTTAACTGCTGCTTCATCCCGTTCCATTTAGGGCGACTAACGAACCGTACAGATGTGTTGGGATGTGGCCGACACACACGTTAGGATATTTCAGTTCAGGATACGGAGTGAAGTAAAGGAGATGAGGTTTTCCTGGATGCTGTGATGTCGTTTAAAAGCCACTTCCCTTTTGATCCCCTCTGATTGGCTGTAAACCGCTTCCCTAATGGGATGATACCATCTTTACTTATGAGTGAAATACTTCCCTTCAATCAAAAATGCTTAACTGGAGGCTGCCGGGGTGGAGGGCAGTGGCGGATTTAGCTATTTGGGGGCCCAAGGTGAACAAAGACGTGGGCCCCCTTACACTAAACTTACAACAATCTTATCTTTAACTGGATTAGCGACACTCTCCCCTCTTCTGACACGAGTTATTTTCACTTTTTATTAGTCCTCCTCTATTTTCCTGTCTCTCTCTCTCCCTTTGAGTGCCTTCCTCTTCCTGTCAGTGCTCCTGTGATTATGCCTTTCTTTTTATTGTTTTCTATTTTCCATTTTGGTCTGTTTTCCTCCCTTTAAACATTTTCCATTGTTCTTCCTTTTTTGCTTCCTTTAATGTTCACATAGAAAAACGACGCCACTGTCGGAAGTGAAGATAAAAGCTTTTTTGACGAGAGCTGCTTTGTTCTCTTATTGGAGCCACTAGGATAACTCCGTCTCACGCTTCATGTTTAGACTACCGCTTCGAGTTTGTTACGAACGCTCCCGCCTCGTCTTATTATTTGTGGCCTTATGGCACTTGGCAGACAACAATTTGGTGCCTTACTGCCACCAACTGGATTGGAGTGGAATGACTACCGATCACTTCCTGTTTGTGCATCGGCGTCTTAAAGGAAGTAACAAGGATTAACAGTTGAAGGATTGACAGAGGGGTGCCGACGGTCAGGGCTAGGGGGCCCCAGGCGGCCGCTGACCTATGACCTATGCCTAATAGTAAAACCGCCACTGATGGAGGGTTTAGAACTTCTTATTTTGGTTTCATACGTTTATAATTTGAGGATTTAGAAATGCAGAATGAAAATAAATGTGTTCCTGTGTTTTATTTAATCACACCAGATGTTTGCCTGCCAAGGTGTATAAATCAGATTAGATTTCAATCCCTACAGAAAACAAAATCACCCACACATTGCTGTCGAAGGGAATTTTTCTTTTGCGTCAGTTAATAAAAAAGGTTTGCAGTCACTGTCCCAGAATGCTAAACGTCATCCGTGTGGTTTAATGTTTCTGATGCATTTAATGACCTGAATTTAGCAACAAGCTGAAAAACGACTCTTAAAAGGTTGAAATGGATTTCACAGCTTCGTTCGTTCCTATGGCTTCACAGTTTGTTTACTTAGGAAAAAGGAAACGTACACCCTAAATCTATTATCATTTAAACGTGTGTCCTAATGGTTCTTTAAGACCCGGAGTTCCACAGGGACGAGTTCTTAGTCCCGTGTGTTCCATTTTTTACTGTCAGTTTGAGCCACATTTCTGGAAATGTCATTCATTCATACTAGTTTCTGCTGAATCCAGAACTTTATTTCAACTCTAAAACAAGATGTGTAAAAAAAATAAAAACTGTTGACGCTGAGATGAGCGAATGATCCTGAAATGGTCCTCACACCAGTGCAGCTCATACCAACAGAACCCAAAACGTACGCGTAGACACCTTCCTGGTTCCTCTGAATCTGCTTCAGGAGGCGATAATCCCGCGGATACACAAGTTTCCCATTTTTAGATCCCGTTCCTTCAGGCAAAATGAAGCCGAGGCGCTGCCTTTGTGTGCATCTTCACGCTCACTGTGTGTGTTTGAGAGGATGACTGTGGACACCATATTCCACGGATAATTGGCTGAAGCGGTGCATGGTGATGGGCTGCATTCAACATCAAAGAGGAATCAGATTTTCCGGGCTGCTAAACGGAGAGCAGGCTGTTGGAGACAGAACTGGAACAAAAAGCCTGTCTGAGAGCCGTCGCAGTACGACTGTTGTTTAGGATTCGCTGTTGACACGGCAGACGGCTTCATCTTTAAAACTCTTTCACCTCATTTACAGAATTTAAAATCCCCTTCAGACAAACAAATTCCTTGTTTGAGACATTTTCCTCTTAATGACCGTGGTCAGGATTTTTCCTGTTAGATTATGTCATTATAGATGATTTTCTCCGTCATCCTGGTAGAAAAAAGGCCGCTGGATGTTTAGCTTCTTATTTAAAGAGCAAGTCACCCCCTACCAGAGTATAACTCCGCTCCCACTTCCTGTTTGAAAAATGCAAAAATGCTGTTGCCTGGCAGACCGAGAGGGCGGAGCTGCTAACAAACACAAACAGGCTCACGACACTGTGACATCATATTGTACCAGCTAACGTTCTAGGATACCTCTTAGCCAATAGCGATGGCAGATTTTAATTCAAATGCAGAGTTTTTACCTGACAACAGCACAACACTGACAGTTTTAGGCAGAATATTAAAATTTTAACTAAAATGCACCAAAGTGCAAAACTATTGACTTCATGTGTCTGCAGCACGATTAGACACACATTTATATAGTTTATCAGGAAAAATACTTGGTTTGGGGGTGACTTGCTCTTTAAGGAGCTAAATCAACTCGGTACAGATTCGTTGATGCTTCCTGAAGGACAAAGGGACACCTCTGAAGGTCAAAGGGACACCTCCGAAGGACAGAGAGACACCTCTGAAGGTCAAAGGGACACCTCTGAAGGTCAAAGGGACACCTCTGAAGGACAGAGAGACACCTCTGAAGGACAGAGAGACACCTCTGAAGGACAGAGAGACACCTCTGAAGGTCAAAGGGACACCTCTGAAGGTCAAAGGGACACCTCTGAAGGTCAAAGGGACACCTCTGAAGGTCAAAGGGACACCTCTGAAGGACAGAGAGACACCTCTGAAGGACAGAGAGACACCTCTGAAGGTCAAAGGGACACCTCTGAAGGTCAAAGGGACACCTCTGAAGGTCAAAGGGACACCTCTGAAGGTCAAAGGGACACCTCTGAAGGTCAAATGGACACCTCTGAAGGTCAAAGGGACACCTCTGAAGGACAGAGAGACACCTCTGAAGGTCAAAGGGACACCTCTGAAGGACAGAGAGACACCTCTGAAGGGTCAAAGGGACACCTCTGAAGGTCAAAGGGACACCTCTGATGGTTTGAGAATTAAAATAAAACATTTTTGTCAAAAGTGAAACACCATCAATGGAAGGATATTTTCCATTGAAGGTGTTTCTCCTGTTTGGTGTTACACATCTGCATTAATCAGCCGTGGAACCAGGTCGGGTCCACGGGTGCAATGAGCCGACTCGGGTATTCTGGTGCCTAAAGGGGTGTTAGTCGGGTTAGGGTGAGGGTTAATGAGACCCTGAAGCATCTTTTAACTCTGTTTGGCAGCTACCCGGTTATCCTGTCTATAGAGAACCACTGCAGTGTCCCTCAGCAAAAGAAGATGGCCCAGTACCTGGTGGAGGTCCTGGGGGACAAACTAGACGTGTCCAATGTCGGAGCAGAAGAATCTGGACGGCTTCCTTCTCCAGAGTCACTCAGAGGCAAGATCCTGGTGAAGGTGAGGTCAGAATGTAGATGTGAGTCGGTCCGGGCTACCGCTCTCTCTTCCTCTTTGTGAGTTTCCTCCGACTCGGGGAGTCGGCCCTTAGGCGCTCAAGTCGGCTCTCGGTCTCGTTATCTGTGGCTTGAACCTCAGAGCGACTTCAAAGGCAGCAGGTGACGAGCTGATGGAAGCCATGAGATGTGAAGGTGTTAGAATACAGAGTGGGAGAGGAGACCATGGAAGCTCCGTGTGTGTGTGTGTGTGTGTGTGTGTGTGTGTGTGTGTGTGGGTGTGTGGGTGTGTGTGTGTGTGTGTGTGTGTGTGTGTGTGTGTGTGGGTGTGTGTGTGGTAACGAGGCAGCGCTGCTTGGACTTCATCTGTATTTCTATTCAACAAGACGGCGTGAACTCGTCTCTGAACCATTTAAAGTTCTGGGAATGTCTCGGCAGTTTGTTTTCTCCGACAGGGAAAGAAACTTCCTCCGAACATCGACGAGAACGCAGAGGAGGGGGACGTGTCTGACGAGGACAGCGCTGACGAGATGGAGGACGACTGCAAGCTGATGAATGGAGACGTACGTACCTCGGTGTTTGATCTGTGGGGTCCCAGCAGATGAAACCTTTATTCAGTCCCACCCAGTCTTCTGCTCCTGCAGCCTGGCTACTTGTTCTCATGCGCTGCTCTTCTCTCCTCCTCTTTGTTCCTTCTTCCTCTTCTCCTCAACCTGTGCTTGCTTCTTTCAAAGTGGAAGGTATCGTATATAAAAACTTCCTTTTTAATCATCCCTGAAGCCTCATCCAGTCACCGCTCATGTTCTCATCCTGCTTGGGAATGTTTAGGAGGGTTGTGCATAACTATTGTATGTGACAGTCCTAAGAACTCATGTTTAACGAAGTTATTGGTTTATCCCAAAGCTGGAAATAATGATGCAACATCCCTTCATGGTTCTGTGAACCATTTAAGTCTGACAGACTTCTTACAGGATACCCGCGGCTCCTTTAAAAGTCTTAAATGTGCTTTTCCAAATTTAAGGCCCTAAAAATCCTTAAAAATGACAAACAATCCTTAAATAGTTTCCAACGGTCTTAAATGACCAAAGACCCAATAAACAAGATTCTTTTATTTCTATAAAATGTTCGTGAGTTTCTAGTTGGTGTTCAGCGTTTTTGTGTACGATGTTGGCGTAAGCGGAACCGTACACGTTCAGCTGGTTGTTCCTCTGTTCTTGCAGCCCCGTCGACCCAACAAGTCATTTACTGTTGCACGCCGCCATCTTGTGGCTGAACTGAGCACGTGCAACAACTAAAGCCTTGTATCTGATCTCTTATGCAGACTTTTGTCTGCCTAGTCCAGACACGTCTTAAAAAACGGACAAAAAGAAAATGAACAATAGATTTTTTTTTAATTAAAAGAAATAAAAGTTTCAAAAGCTCCAAATTTGACGTTCTTACGTTTAAAGCAGCAGGTAGCTGAGGTAGAGGCAGCAGCCATGTTTACCTGCTCAGACCTCGATGGCAGCTTCTGTTACAGAAGGTGAGTCTGGGAAACGTCCACATTTTAAAGCACGTTCTTGGTGTCAGACTGCAAAACGTAAGCAGTTAAAGTTCCCCCGGCTCTGAAAGAGCAGGTTCATGCCGCTGCTGGAGTACTCATTCATTCATTCATTCATTCATTTATGTTAAAGCTGTAGAATCAGATCGAGCTTCGTACGTTTGGCCTCTCTAGATAAAGTTTGTGAGACTGAATGCGGCGGTGCATCATCTATTCTGGTCAGACTAAACGAGTCGATAATGATGAGCTGATGAACGGCTCCTTTGCCTTCAGTGTTTATTTCACTGATGAAGACTATGAAGTTACTTGTGTTTGGTCGTAGAAGAACCACTTACTGATATTTAATCCTGAACTCACATCTGGTGGTTTGGCTGGGTGTGTTTATACGTAAACCTCCTGAGGAGGCGGGAAAACGGTTTCCACTCCCAGCCTCACATCTGGAGCCTCACAGAAGCAGCAGTGTTTACGTTTCGTAACACGAGTTATGAAACGATGAGCCGTAGATCCATGCGTGGGACTACTTTACGTTCCAGTTCCACTGGTTGACCGCTACCGCTCGTCCCACAGCGTTCACGTCCAGCTGCGCCTGCCTCCAAAGAACCATTCATAACGGAAAAATCCGTATTTTACAACCAGATATGTTCTGATTTGTCCTGGGTGTTCTGGATTCACCAGCGTGACTCTTTGAGTCTAGAATAGTGAACCTTTTCACAATAATGCAATGGTGTGATTTAGAGTGGGGTACCATCAGCTGTACGCCATCATCACCAGTTAGACCAGACGCAGGCTGAAGCTCCTGGATTCGCCTGAACGAGTGCCTCAAAGATCAGTTTCACCTTTTAGGTTGAGTCGGTGACCTGAATGAACTTTTGCACCTGGTGAGGTTTCTCTCACCACCGAATCTTTTAACCGCCGCTTCTCCCTGCAGACGTCCGCCAACAGGAAGCAGGTGGAGAACTTGGCCAAGAGAAAACTGGACAGCCTGATGAAGGAGTCCAAGATCAGAGACCGTGAAGATCCAGACAGCTTCACCATCGCAGCTCTTCCTCCCTCAGGGAAGTCCACGGATAAGACCGATGGCAGCAAGGTACACATCACCTCCAGCCTTCAGCGTTTCAGGTAGCGGTGCAGCATCAGCGTTTCAATCATTCACCTTTCTTTGGACCCGGTCCGAGTCGCTTTGGAGTGTCTGCTGATGGCGAGTTCGGGTCTGATGCCTTTCAGCAGGAAACTGGAAACCACTCCCAAGCTTTCCTTTAACTTTCACTTGTTTAGGAAGTTTGATGAAAACGTTTGAAAGTCGAGCAGCTCGTATTGTAAATGGTTGACTCCCTCAGTATGTGGCTGTGCTGAGTGACGCGTGTTCTCGGGGCGGGGCAGACACGCGGCGCCTCAGCCGGCAGGCTCGCTCCTCCTGCTCGGCTCCTGTAGCTGCAGGAGACTCTTCGTTTAGGAGCGTGTCTTTGTCTGTCGGCTGGCTCCGTGTTTTAGTCCGAGTCACTGCTGTGAACTGGAACTGTTGGTGGCAAACTGGGACAAGGAGACTCGGGATGCCACGGTAACTGGTGTAGCGGTAGACCCGGTGAAAACGTTGGCGATAACCGTCTAGTTTTGAAAAACGTAGATTATCTCAGTGGATTAGCGTGGCCGCGGTGCAGGCGCTCGAACCCTCAGCAGCCACCAGAACGTCCCTGAAGCTAAAGCTGAAATGAGACGGCCATCAGAAGTAACCCGAACAGCTGCATCAGTGGATATTTTAACATAAAGCAACCCTCTGGCTCTCCGAAACACCTCGACTTCACGCAGCTCTCTGCTGTGAGTTTAAGTCCTGACTGTGTGAGTCTGATCTGCTTCAGCTGGAGAGGATCCAGATGAAACCGGTTTGTGTCTCTGCTCTCAGGGCAGAGGTGATGAAGGGACGGACACGGCGGACGAAGCTCCCAGCAGCACCAAACGAACGGGTCGCTCCTTCATCGGCAGCTTCTCCAAACGCAAGGTCAGCTTTTTATTTCCTGATGGTTGAATTTGAGATAGAGTCTAAAGTTGTGACTCGTTTACGTGTCCGAGTGTCTCATGTCTGTCTCACTTGAGCAGCGGTTGTTTGTTAAATCTCTGAACAGAAGAAGTCGTCCAAGCTGAAGAAGACTTCGAGCTTTGAGGACACGGACACGGACCAGGAGAGCACCAGCAGTGCCTCTCGAGCCCAGCCTCACCACAGCAGGTACGCCTGGCACCAGCGTGCGGGTTTAACACTCGATCGTCGCTCACGACGGCGTTTCACCCTCCCCACAGAAAGAAGACCATGAAGCTCTCCAGAGCTCTGTCTGATCTGGTCAAGTACACCTGCTCCGTGGGTCTCGATGACGTGGAAGCTCAAGGTGGGCGGTCCTGAGGCGGCCGATCACATCTCCGGCCAGCTGTTTATGAATGTTTGAGAAGATGACCTGAAGCCTTGGGTGTTTCCGTTGCAGCCGCCTGCAGCTGGCAGGTTTCCTCTCTGAGCGAGACCAAAGCTCACCAGCTGATGCAGCAGAAAGCTGCGTCCTTCATCCAGTTCAACCAGCGGCAGCTGTCCCGCATCTACCCCTCCTCCTACCGGGTGGACTCCTCCAACTTCAACCCCCAGCCCTTCTGGAACTCAGGCTGCCAGTTGGGTGGGTTTTAACCCCCAGTTGGGTTTCCACATGAACCGTTGGTCATCCAGATGTCGCCCCGCGGTCAACATCAGTGGTTATTTTAGCGTTACGTCACTAAAGTCTCTGCTCCCTGCTTTATTCTGCTTCCAGTTGCGCTGAACTACCAGTCTGAGGGTCGCGTCCTCCAGCTCAACCGGGCCAAGTTCTACAGCAACGGCAACTGTGGCTACGTCCTCAAACCCGCGTGCATGTGTGCAGGTCCGCTGGAGAGACGCGTCGTCGCTTACACCTAAACTCTGGTCTCTTCTGTGTTTCTGACTGAGGATGAAACCTGTTTCTGCCGCTCTGCCCTTCCCAGGTGCCTTCAACCCCAACCTGGAGGACCCGCTGCCCGGCCGGATGAGGAAGCAGCTGGTGTTGAAGATCATTAGTGGACAGCAGCTTCCCAAACCCAAAGACTCCATGTTGGGAGACAGAGGAGAGGTGATGCTTAACCCTGACCCCTTGTATGGTGCTACTGAAGCGTTTTAACGTGTTCATCGATGAACGTCTGAATTTAGAGCCGCCGGTTTTAGAGATCAGCTTTAAAGCTGCCCACGTCCGTGGGTTTGGTCTTTAATCCGGGTCAACCCTCTGTCATCCAGGGATCATCACCGTTATTTAGACTGGAACTGAGATCTTGAATTAACTTTAATGACACAAATACTGACAACAGGAGATGAACAGGACAAACATTTGAGTCTGGAAACGTGTAAATAATTGTGTCGTAGAGATCTTCCACAACCGGCGGCGTATTCAGTCCTCACCTGTCCAGCAGAGCCGTAGGCGTGTACAGCAGCACGAGGCAACGTGTCGCTCGGGTAGATGAACTGTTATCATTTATCAGCCTGAGACGCTGGAGGTGTGGTGTGAAATCACATGAAGACCATCAAATGTGCGTCTCACGCTCATGGCGTGAAGTTTTAACGCTGAAATCCACTTCAGACATCAGACCTGCAGCTGGTGCTCATGTCTGCGGCGCGTTGAAGCGGTCAGTGGACAGAACAAATTCTGGCTGACCTATGACGTAACACCCCCGCCCCCCTCCTCCCTGCTCCATCCCACATCCTGCCTGCCTCTCTCTCCACCCTCCGGTTCCCTCTCGCTGCTGTTCTGGCGTTTCAGGAGGTAAACTCTCTCTGCGTCACCGGACCGGCGTGGGGAATGGGGATGTTTTAACACCCACATGTTTTCTAACGAGGAGGTACAAACACCCACTCTGACCCCGCCATGTTTCTCGTTGCGTTTGCCCCCTCCTCCTCCTGCCGTACGTTTTGCATCGATGTTGCGTCAGTATTCTGGTCGGCTCTGTTGCTGAAGCCCTCGTCGATGTGAATATTTATTTATTTACCGAGAACAAGAGATGACATTATTACAGAAAGCAAAGAAAGACGTACCAGACGAAGCTGAAGTTGGTTTTCTATTTCGGTTTCAGAGTCAGACGGCCCTTCCTCTCCCCGAGCATCTCTACTCAGCTCTCATCGCACATTTCCAGAACTTAGACTCTTTAAAGGTGGACCGGGTTATTCTGCACTAATGACAGAATCCTTAAGACGTTTTCTCTTTTTTAAAACCTTTATTTCATTTGTGGAAGTTCAAAGCAGGCAGGCTTAGAACTGGCTCAGCTCTCAACTACAACACCAGACTCTTCAGACCTGGACTAGATGATTAAACTAACAGTCTGTAAAACATAGTTTGTGAAACCTTTATTAGTTACAGTTGGAAAATACACACGTTTCATCTGATCCGCCGTAGATCCGGTCCAGCTCTAAACAACAAGACTTGGGCTCTTCAGACCTGGACCAGATTATTCTACAACAGCATATAATCCATAACAGACAGCTGGTAAATGTGAAACCTGTAGTAGATCAGTGAAAGTCCAAAGAAGGCAACTTTCTTCTGAGTTTGGATCATCAGGTCAGCGACATGTTTTTCAGTCCTACAGGTTTACAACAGTAGCTACGTTTATTTTGGTCACCCATGAAATAAAGTTTTTTTATTGGAGCAGATTCAAGATGCAGGAAGAGGAAAAAGTAGCTGCAGTTAACCTTTCCACAGTAGAAACCAGAGTGGGAACAAATCCAGCTTTGTGCAAAACAAACATCAACAAATGAAAAAGTAAAACAGGAAGAATGAATAAATAAAAGATTTAGCCAAATTATTGAGGAAACAAGATCAAATTAAAAAATTGTGGCCATGCTTGCGACCGTGTGGACATGAGCCACCAGGGAGCTGCAGGTAATCTCCCAGTTAGCCCGGTGGTGTGTGCACATCTGCTTTAAGCCACTTTAACAACAGAACCTCCTGTTGCAATATGCAAAATACTTTATTATGACTAAGTACTGAAATAATTCAAAGCAAGCAACTTGTGGCTGTCAGCTTGTAAACGCACGCACATTATATAAGGTAGGCAACTGCAACCTTTGAGTTTTACTGTTTAATATTAAAATACACGATACTGTGGACTGTTCAAGAAGACGTTTCCAGCCAGTGAACGGGGACACGACAGCGTGGAAAGCTACGGAGAAAATGCTGCGCATGTGGTACTCAGGCATGTTGACACGGTTGGCGGGTCTGAGATGTGGATCGCTGCATCTAGACTGTATTTAGCTTGTCGTGAGTAAGATCCACCGGGAGAGGTTTATGATTGGTCAGTCCATGCAACATGATCATGATGCACATCATTCCCATTCCTAATGTCAGGAAGGACGGTCTGGAGCGCAGGCTGGGTGTTTTCTAACCTGCAGGGAACATCTACAACAGGAAGTAGCTAAGGGAACATCAGCAACAACAGGAAGTAGCTAAGGGAGCATCAGCAACAACAGGAAGTAGCTAAGGGAGCATCAGCAACAACAGGAAGTAGCTAAGGGAGCATCAGCAACAACAGGAAGTATCCAAGGGAGCATCAGCAACAACAGGAAGTATCCAAGGGAGCATCAGCAACAACAGGAAGTATCCAAGGGAGCATCAGCAACAACAGGAAGTAGCTAAGGGAACATCAGCAACAACAGGAAGTAGCTAGGGGAACATCAGCAACAACAGGAAGTAGCTAGGGGAACATCAGCAACAACAGGAAGTAGCTAGGGGAACATCAGCAACAACAGGAAGTAGCTAGGGGAACATCAGCAACAACAGGAAGTAGCTAGGGGAACATCAGCAACAACAGGAAGTAGCTAGGGGAGCATCAACAACAACAGGAAGTAGCTAGGGGAGCATCAGCAACAACAGGAAGTAGCTAGGGGAGCATCAGCAACAACAGGAAGTAGCTAGGGGAGCATCAGCAACAACGGGAAGTAGCTAGGGGAGCATCAGCAACAACAGGAAGTAGCTAGGGGAGCATCAGCAACAACGGGAAGTAGCTAGGGGAGCATCAGCAACAACAGGAAGTAGCTAGGGGAGCATCAGCAACAACAGGAAGTAGCTAGGGGAGCATCAGCAACAACAGGAAGTAGCTAGGGGAGCATCAGCAACAACAGGAAGTAGCTAGGGGAGCATCAGCAAAAACAGGAAGTAGCTAGGGGAGCATCAGCAACAACAGGAAGTAGCTAAGGGAGCATCAGCAACAACAGGAAGTAGCTAAGGATCCTCGGATGGAGATGGGTTGTTCGCCAGGTGCCTTTAGGGAAAAGAGTCATGAAGTGAGTCTGAAAGGTTGTTAGAAATGGTGACAGAGCTGCTACATATGCAACACCATGGTGATGGGGGGCGCGCTTGCTTTGCAATTCAGAGCAGCACAAGATTAAGCCGTGAGAGGAGAGCAAATAATCAGCTCATTTTGTTTTTATAATTATGATTAAAATTCAACTAACCGAGCAGTTTTGGTGCGATCTATTAATGCTGCAGTGTACCCGTGGTTAGTTGGGAGATCTATTTTTGTGTCCCGGACGAGCCCCCAAGTATTCTACAGCTGATGTGTAACTCAGAGGTCAACGTGTCATTAAATATTTAAATGAAGTTTAATTAACATAACCTCAAATCAACATGCTCCAAAAGAGGGAAAATCCTTAAACTAGGTGGTTCCGTAACTTCTGATAATCACATTCCTGACGGTCCCCAATAGATCGCCAACGTCCAAACTAAGTTCATCTAGAGATGGTGTCAAATCTGTTCTGGTCAGATTTAGAAAATGACACCAAACATGATCTGTTAGGGCTCAGTTCGCTGTGAACGATTCAGGACTTTCTAGCTGTGACTCGACCAGAGCCCCGTTGGCGTTTTCCTGACACGGATGAGCCGTGGTGGTCGTCTATTTAGGCTGATCCGGGGCAGATGTTCTCCTCTCAGCATAAATAACATCACCAGACTGGTGGAGCTGGTCGTGTGGAGTCCTTCTGGTCATTAAACGTATTTATAATTGGTCATTATTAAATGTGAATGAGAGGAACGGTTCTTTTACAGTGTAACGCTCGCTGCAGTTGGTCACATTCATGCTTTAACCTCCTGGGACCCAAACTTGTATTTGATGTGAAAAAACATGTGTAGCTATTACAGATTAGTAGTCTGTAATTAACAAACAAAACTACAAAATTAAAATAAAAGTGTTAAATAGCCAAAAAAAAAAAAAGATAATTTAAAGATTTAGTGTCTAAACGTGTGTTCTCTTCTACTTGGACCTTTTTATTGTTTATAAAGTGCAGGAAGTCCACCTAACCCTAACCACGCAGCGCCCTAAGGGTTAAACGATCCCAGTAAAACATGGCTCCTCTGAGGGTTCTGCTGTTCTCGGGCCGTTTTTTCCATAAAGATGAATAAATCTGGTAAAAGTGATGTTTGTGTGGGTTGGCCCTTAACATTTTCTGCTGTCGTGTCAGATCATCGACCCGTTTGTGGAGGTGGAGATCATCGGCCTCCCGGTGGACTGCTGCAAAGAGCAGACCAGGGTGGTGGACGATAACGGTGAGAGGCTCAGCTGGAGCAGACTCAGCAGCTCCGCTCTGCTGTCTCTTTCTCACTTCCTGAATAAATGATGAGCTGTTTGTGTCTCTGTCCTCCACCCGCTCCGTGGCCTCCGGTGGCTTCCAGGCTTCAACCCCATGTGGGAGGAGACTCTGGTGTTCTCCGTGCACATGCCGGAGCTCACGCTGGTGCGGTTCCTCGTCTGGGACCATGACCCCATCGGCCAGGACTTCATCGGACAGCGAACGATTGCCTTCAACAGCATGATGCCAGGTAGCGCCACCCGCCCGGGCTGAGCTGGTGTCTGAAATGACGTTTGAGGAGAATAAGGAAGTGTTTTCCTGCAGTTTGTTGTAAATAAGCAGATGAACCAGATTCATCAGCTTCATCTTCACCGTAAGAACGTGAGTTTGAACAGGCGCATTTAGCCTCTAGGACATTTATCTTCGTGCTGAAGGTGATTTGTGCATCTTTGTGGACTAGTTGTGGAAACCACCACGTAGGACAATCCTAGGAACACGGGTCCAGGTCAGAGTGAGAAGCGGTTACGTCCGGCTTCTGCTCTCTGGAGTTACCTGACCTCCGTCTGCTGCTCTGATATTAAAACCATTCTCTCTCCTCCTCTCATGGAGGAAACGACCTCCAATGTCAGGAGGCAGAAAATTCTTCTTCTGAGTTTTTCCGTTTTTGTTTGGGTTTAGGTTATCGCCACGTCTACCTGGAAGGTATGGAAGAAGCTTCCATCTTTGTTCACGTAGCGGTGAATGACGTCACTGGTAAGGTGGGTACCGCTCAGGTGATGTCATTAATAGTTATTAAAACAGGTGGTGATTCTTCATCAGGGACGTTCCTTCCTCTGATCAGAGGAGATGCAGCAGGTCGGGTCATGAGAACTGCACTACTTCCTGTTTACGTTTAATCTTGGATCTGTTGTTGAGACCGTCTCTCAGGCTCCAGCTTCAATAACCTCTTTGTTCTTCATTCATCTCGTCTCTGCTTCCTGCTGGGATTCGTCTGCTGGTCTTCCATCCTCGTCCCGGCTGACTTCCTCTTCCTGTGTCTGTTTGTGATTTCAGTGGGCGTGTCTTAGTGGCAGGAAAGTTTTAGGAGCCTTGAAGCTGCTGCTCAAACCTCAGGTGTAGTGAGATCCAGTGAGCATCTTGCATGAGCCACATCCTCCAGCCAAACACCCCCCCCCCCCCCCCCCCCCCCAATAATCTGTCAGACCCGCTCATGTCCCACATGAGCTGTGAAGGTTTGACCTGACCGTGTTCTCCAGCTAGCTGGAACAAGCCAGAACGTCTGCCCCGACTTAAATCTGAGTGTGGAACATGGAGAAGCCCACGTGAGCCAGATGTCCCAAAACGTGACGGATAATTCAAACGCGCTAAAAGAAAAAGAAAACATACATTTTTATAGTCACGGCTGCTTGAAATGGAGTGGGCTGAAGTTTAACACTCATTACTTCCCACCCCCCTTTCAAATTCCAATATCAAACTGCAGTACATTAATTGTATCCATACATATGTGACCTTGAAGGCATCAGAGGTTCCTGAGCTCGGATCTGGGGCAGAGCTGTTTCTTTTCTGTCTTTTGAAACATTTTTCCTTCTTTTTCCGACTCTGGTAAAACACAGGCCGCAGATCCAGGACCGCTTCCTCAGGATTTCCCCCAGAAAATGAGTTAAGCCTGGCGGCTCCGGCCATCCGGGGGCATCGTCGTTCCGCTGCTGTTTCTCACCAGTATCAGCTGATGGAGGGCTCTAGTCTTGCTGCGCCGTTCGTGACAGCGGACACGATAGGGTCGGGGAGGGGGGCGGGGCATGACGCTTAGCCTGGCGGGCCGCTAGGCTTATAAAGCGCTGGGGGAAACTCTGGGTTCCTGTGCTGGAAACACCTGGTCAGACTAGAGCTCCATCTAGCGGTTTGGGTCCAGAATAATAAAAAACACAAATCTCTCGGTTTTTGACCTCTGAAGGAAATGGAATGGTCATGAGCTTTGGGTAGTGACCAAAAGAACGAGATCGTGGATACAAGCGGCCGAAATGAGTTTTCTCTGCAGGGTGTCTGGGCTCTCCCTTAGAGATAGGGTAAGAAGCGCGGTCATCTGGGAGGGGCTCGGAGTAGACCCGCTGCTCCTCCACATGGAGAGGAGCCAGTTGAGGTGGCTCAGGCATCTGGTCAGGATGCCTCCTGGATGCCTCCCTGGTGAGGTTTTCCGGGCACGTCCAACCGGGAGGAGGCCTAAAGGTAGACCCAGGACACGGTGGAGGGACTATGTCTCTCACCTGGACAGGGAACGCCTTGGGATTCCCCCGGAGGAGCTGGCCCAAGTGGCTGGGGAGAGGGAAGTCTGGGCCTTTGACTTAGGCTGAAAATTGATGGATGGGTTAAAATACGACTGCTGCTCCACAGATAGAGCCACATGGACCTTCACAATAAAAGCATGCAGGGGTTCGTCGTTGACTTTTAGTTATTTAGTTATCAGAAATGAACGAGATAACTGAAGACAGACATTAAGGAACCTGCTGTCCCTGTTGCAGACACATCGGTGCTGGTTTGGGTCAAAGCCCAACAGAGAAATTCTGATTGCCTACGAAACAAAAACCTGAAACATCTGAGCTGTTTATAATTTAAAATGGTTTTTATAATCGGTACCGAACATTTTTCATGTTTTAGTTTTTAGATCATTTCTGTGGTTTAATGATCGTTTAGTCCTAGTCTCGCCTTTTAATGTGAGAAACAGCCTCCAGCATGAGTTCTGCCCTCCAACGCTCTACCGCTACGCTCCAGCTGCTGCACACACACACACACACACACACACACACGTACTACACCACACGCGCTCAAGCACGTACTACACCACACTAGGGATGGGTACCTTTGACATTTGAATCGATCCGGTACTAATTCCCGGTACCTAGGAATCGATACCGGTACTTAACGGTACCAATTTTCGATACTTTTGAGTGTTTATTATTTTAATTCTCTTTTATAATTAAATATATATTTTTCTCAATATATAACCATATTTGATGAATAGCACGATAAATAACATTCAACTGTTTGTATTTTAACATCGTCCTTGTAGTTTTATAAGCTGATAATTAAACTGATGCAAACATCTTTACTGTGAACTAAATTTACTGTGTATCTTCATTCCTTTTGCCGTCTTTTTTCATTTGATTTTTCCTACTGGGAAGTTAGAATTTCCGAGGAGAAAGCGAACGCACCATTAGCTGATAACAATAGTAGCAATGGAAGCTAACATATCAAGCTAACGTTATCTTTAACAGTTTATTTAGCTGCTGGAGCAGATTAAAACGATGATGCCTCAAACTTAGATCGTTGTCGCTGGTTTCATCTTCACCCAATCACCCGTCGCATTTAGTAAAGTGAAGCCAAACTTTAGAGCGCGTTCATGTTCTAGTCGGAAATTCGGAGTTCCGAGGAGAAAGCGAACGCACCATTAGCGAAACGGAAGCTAACATATCAAGCTAATTATATTTTCCTACCGGAGCAGATTAAGATGAGGATGTCTCACTTAGATCGTTGTCGCTGGTTTCATCATCACCCAGTTACCCATCACATTTAGTGAAGTGGACCCAAGCGTTAGCGTGCGTTCTTTCTACCATGCTGCTCTGTTTACAACTGGTTCACAGCAAGCGACGACAAAATGCTCTTGCGCATGCGCAGCTGTCTTGGCAAGTTCTCGTTATGATGGACGGGTACCGAAACGAGGCACCGTTTGAAATGACGTGAATCGGTGCTCAGTCGGTACTATGGAATTCGGTCGGTACCTTAAAAAGTACCGAATTCGGTACCCATCCCTACACCACACACGTACTACACCACACACACGTACTACACCACACACACGCGCAAGCACGTACTACACCACACACGCACACACACACACGTACTACACCAAACGCGTACTACACCACACACACACACGTACTACACCAAACACGCACGCACACACACACGTACTACATCACACACACACACGTACTACACCACACATGCACACACACACACGTACTACACCACACATGCTCACACACACACACGTTCTACACCACACACATACTACACCACACACACGTACTACACCACACACATACTACACCACACACACACACACGTACTACACCACACACATACTACACCATACACGCACACACATGTACTAAACCACATGCGCGCACTCTCACACACACACACGTACTACACCACACACAATTACTACACCACACACACGCGCAAGCACGTACTACACCACACACACGTACTACACCACACACGCGCGCAAGCACGTACTACACCACACACGCGCACACACACACACACGTACTACACCAAACGCGTACTACACCACACACAGACACGTACTACACCAAACACGCACGCACACACACACGTACTACATCACACACACACACACACACACGTACTACACCACGCACACACACACGTACTACACCACACATGCACACACACACACGTACTACACCACACATGCTCACACACACACACGTACTACACCACACACATACTACACCACACACACATACTACACCACACACATACTACACCACACGCACACACACGTACTACACCACACACATACTACACCATACACGCACACACATGTACTAAACCACATGCGCGCACACTCACACACACACACGTACTACACCACACACAATTACTACACCACACACTCATACTACACCACACATACTACACGTACCACACATACGCACACACACATACTACACCACACACACACACACGTACTATACCACACTCACATACTACACCACACACACACACGTACCACACCACACACGTACCACACCACACACATACTACACCACACACACACACACACGCACATACTACACCAAACACACACGCACGTACTACACCACACACACGTACTACACCACACACACGTACTACACCACACACACGTACTACACCACACACACGTACTACACCACACACACACACACGTACTACACACACATACATGCACATACTACACCACACACACATACACGCACGTACTACACCACACACAAACACGCACGTACTACACCACACACAAACACACACACATACTACACCACACACACACACACATACACGCACATACTAGGGGTTGTATGAGCTAGTCGACTAGTCGACTTCACTGCTCAAAAACAAGTTAGTTTTTGTACCTGCTGGTTGCAACAAACAGACACCATTGAAGGTAATCAGAAGTGAGGAACAGAAAATGAAATAATTATTTTAATGTTTAGAGCAGCAGGAACTCTGAGAGGCTGCAGGCGCATCAGTGAGTTTGCGGCCGCTGCGCAGGGGGAGGGGGGAGAGGGCTGAAGTGGAGCAGTATAGATGCAGAAACTACCACTGTTAAGAGATGTGTTTAACTTTGAAAATGTGGGCGCAATTTTAATTGTCAAAAACTCCAGCGAACCACCCCGCGCCGCTTCATGTGTATGAAGTCATCAACGACTAGTCGAAGTCGACTCAATTTTCATTACTTGAAAGTCGACTTTAAAAATAATTAAGTCGTGCAGCCCCTAGCACATACTACACCACACATACACACGTAACACACATACGCACGCACACACACACACACACACGTACTACACCACGCACACATACTACACCACACACACACGTACTACACCACACACACGTACTACACCACACACATGTACTACACCACACACATGTACTACACCACACGCACATACTAAACCACACACACACACGTACATACACACGTACCACACACACACATGTACTACACCACACACACACACACGCATGTACTACACCACACACACATACACGCACATACTACACCACACACACACATACTACACCACACACACGCACATACTACACCACACACGCACATACTGCACCACACACACGTACTACACACACTCATACGCACGCACACACACATACTAAACCACACACACACGCACATACTACACCACACGCACGCACATACACACGTACCACACATACGCATGCACACACACGTACTATACCACACACGTACAACACACACTCATACGCACGCACACACACACATACTACACCACACACACACACACATGCACATACTACACCACACGCACGCACATACACACGTACTACACACACTCATACTCACGCACACACACACATACTACACCACACGCACGCACATACACACGCACACACACGTACTACACACACTCATACGCACGCACACACACACATACTACACCACACACACGCACATACACACGTACCACACATACGCACGCACACACACGTACTACACCACACACGTACTACACCACACACGTACTACACCACACACACACGTACTACACCACACACACACGTACTACACCACACACACGTACTACACCACACACACATACTACACCACACACATACTACACCACACACACGCACATACTACACCACACACACGTACTACACACACTCATACGCACGCACACACACACACACATACTACACCACACGCACACACACACATACTACACCACACGCACGCACATACACACGTACCACACATACGCACGCACACACACGTACTACACCACACACGTACTACACCACACACACACACATACCACACCACGCACACGCACACACATACTACACCACACACACACACACACACGTACATACACACGTACTACACCACACACACACACGTACGTACTACACCACACACACACATACACACTACACCACACACACACGCATATACACACACTCACGTACATACACACGAACCACACACATACGCACACGCACACACAATTCAATTCAAGTTTATTTATAAAGCGCCAAATCACGACGAGTCGTCTCAAGGCACTTCACATAATAAACATTCCACTTCAGGTCAGGTCATTAAGCCAATCAGAAATAATGTTTCCTATATAAGGAACCCAGCAAATTGCATCAAGTCACTGACTAGTGTCAGTGACTATACAGCAATCCTCATACTAAGCAAGCATGTAGCGACAGTGGAGAGGAAAACTCCCTTTTAACAGGAAGAAACCTCCAGAGAATCCCGGCTCAGTATAAGCAGCCATCCTCCACGACTCACTGGGGATGGAGAAGACAGAGCACACATACACACATACACACACACACACACACACACACACACACCCCTAATGCTCTACACTTTGAATCCAGCAGGAATTCAAAGCTGGCCCGCATGTTGCAGCTGAATGATTGTGCGGAAGCGTGATCATTCACAGAAGCGCTCCAGGCTCTGAGCATGCTCACTTGGGAAGAAACTGCTTGTTGTGATGAGACACTTTGAACGTTGCCATGACGACAATGTTAAAGCGTTTCTAAAGCTTTCTGTGGTTTCACGCTGATGCTTTTGTTTTTGATTCCTCAGGCCCGAGCCGCCGGGGGCATCAAAGGTCTGTTCAACAGAAACCCAAAGCAGGCTTCCCTGGACAGCCATGCTGTTGTGCATCACGGTCGTAAGCACCCGTTTGGCGCCCACCTCCTGCGCCGCACCGCCAGCGCTCCCACCAGAGGTCAGCCCAAACCCAAGAAAGGCTTTCCAGAGATAGCCATCGACACCAAAGACTACAGCTCCGAGGGCGCCAGCGAGGAGCGGGAATCCGAGGACCGGGACAAGGCCTCGGCCGCCACCCCCCACCAGTTTACCCCCCCACAGCATCGAAACGGGGAGTCGCTGGCCTCCTGCCAAGCCAAGGGCCCCTGGGACCGTCCTGACACCAATGGAGCTTTTCACCAAGAGGAGGGTAAAGGTAAGAGCTCAGCTTTCCACCGACCCATGAGCGAGCCACTAAAACGGGCCGGCCATCTCCGTTTTCACGACCCGCTGGACACGAAGCCGGGGGTGTTTGCTCGGGTGGCGCTCAGTAGCTCAGGGAGGGTGGGCATGTCCTCCAACTGCATCACCTGTGTGATCGGTTCTAAGGAGAGTCCAGAGGCTGAGAGGAAGGGTCAGGTGGAGAACGGACCAGAATCCAGGTCCAAACAGGAGAGAGCTATAGAGCAACCAGAACCAGACCCGTCTCTGTCCAAACCCAAGTCCTGCATGGAGGCCCAGTTCCAGTACTCTCCTCAGGCGCTGCTTCGGCCGAACCCCTTCTCCAGGTGTAAAGCCAGACAGACTCTGGGTCCGCAGCATCTTCGCCCTCAGGCCGAAGCGTCCCACAGGAACATCCGATCCTGCAGCGTTCCCCGCAGACGTCCCGCCAACACTGTCACCCCGGCGCCGTGCCACGCACCGGACTGCAAAACCAGCCTCTGTTGGCAGCAGGCCACGCCCCCTAACTATGGCTCGGTTTGCGGCCCATCACTGATTCCTCTGACTCCCGTGAGCGTGAACGAAGCTCTCCTGCTCAGCGACAGTAGCAGCTGCGACAGCTTCTGCAGTCTGAGCAGCCTGGAGCCCCCTCCAACGCTGCCCCCACGCTCGGTTCTGGACTGCCGCAAGAGGGCGGCCGGTACCCTGCAGCGAGAGATGAACGCCCTGTTTGCTCAGAAAATGCAAGAGCTGCATCATAAGTCTCCCCTGTTCTTCTCCGGTAAGACCAGGTAGATGGGAGGGCTAGGGTGTGTTGGTGTGAACGTAGCTGAAGTCCCTCCTCATCCCTAGTTTTCCCGGTAGTTGAAATAAAACGACCTTAATGTTTGTTGTCCGTTCAAACCCACCTCTAGCTTTCCTAGGTTTCACCCTAACGGTTGATTTAAATCCACATTTTCTTTCTAACATATTCACCCTGCTATTACTCGTGCACTCCAGAGGAGGAGCGTGGTGGTAAATCTGAAGCATCAAACCCCGTGGGCAGCCATCTTGAACTGGGTCAACTCCCAAAGCTGTCCATCACATAACGACTTTGAGGGTTTCGTTAAAACCCGTCCAGCGCTCCGTGAGAGCGTTACCAAACACTTGTTTAGCTCCACTGATGGAAAAACAACTTGGTGCATTACTGCCACCTTGTGGACGTGAAGGTAAGGTGTTGGGGTATCAGGACAGTCGTCATGGCAGTGGTCGTCTAGACAGATGCCTTTAGTTATCGTTAACTAACCAGTTTAAAGTCCCATTACTCATCGTCACACACATCCCCGTGGGAGGCGGTGAGCTGCAGCAGTGGCTGCACTAGGGAACTGTTTGGTGGTTTAACCCCTAAAGCTCTCCTCTGGTGTTTCTCACTTCTAGTTCCTGAAACAAGCGCACCAGAGCTTTGTTTCTCCAGAGTACGACTTAAAAGGCATTAATTCCTACCAGAGACCACTGCCGATTTGTTGATTAAACAGGTGATCCACATGGGTTTGATGGACATAATTCCCACTGATGTAGCTGATGTGAAGCTACACGATTCGGAACGATCAGATTTGAGTTGTTTTCTGGTCTGACTGGATCCGATTGGATCCAAACCGGAGTAATTCCAGATTTATCCATGTGGCATGACCTGCTCTCTGCCCTGCAAACTGCTTCCTTCCTCTCTTTCTTCCTCCTCCTTCCTGTTTGGATAACTCCGTTTTTCCTCTCTGTCCCTTTTTGCACGCTGTCTGTTCCTAGTGCAGAACTGAGGGGATGACCAGAACCAGGTAAACTGAACGCATGCAGGCTGTACTGTTGACCTCTCACCTCATCACCCCTCATTCACCTGCAGGGTTGGGATAGATTTTCCTCCTCATGCTAGTTGTTCAAACCCACAAAGCCGTGGTTGATGGGAGCGCCAGGCTACAGGAATGTAGCCGAGACGAACATCATTAGCATCTCTCTGGAAGGTTGAACGCTGGCTGGAATGAGACTCCATCCACCGTTATTCCGATCACATGGAACATGTTGGCTTCTGGTCTGAATGGGTCCGTAGAACCGTTTGGCTAATGGGAAGACGTCTAAACTAGGGATGATCCGATTCAGTCGTGGTTTACGAAGGATCCCAAATCTGGTGGAAAAGAGGGGATTAAACTCTACGGAATTCCAACGGCTTGGTTTTCTTTTCAGCTGCTGGGGATTCAGAATATGTAGCCGCTTGCTAGCGTGGAGTAGGGGTGTGCCATCTTGAGTACCTCACAATTCAGTTTGGATTCAAGGTCCTAGGGTTATCACAGTTAAAGAGATGGGGCGACGGTGGCACAAGCGCTGAGTGCTCGCCCCGTAATCGGAAGGTTGCAGGTTCGAGCCCCGCTCAGTTTGTCGCTGTCGTTGTGGCAAGACACTTAACCCCTCTTACCTGCTGGCGCCGCCTCTGTCAGTGTGCCCCAGGGCAGCTGTGGCTACATTGTAGTTCATCCCCACCTGAGTGTGAATGGGTGAATGACTGGTTGTGTTGTAAAGCACCTTGGGGGGTTCTAGGACTCTAGAAGGCGCTATATCAAATACCGGACATTTACAATGAAAGGGGAAATAGCAGACAGACTGTAAAACGTTGGGATTCGTAGTCCTGCAGCACCTGAGCCCACCTGTGGTAGTTACAGGTGTTGTGCAGAGAAAAGTGAGCCTGCCGACCGCGGCGCCTCGTGTCTGAACCGTCATCACTCATTACCGCTGCATTAAGGACAAACATTCAGAAGTATAATATATTCATCTTTATCACTGTACTTCATAAAACATGGTGTGTTTTTGGCGGATAAACAAAGGAAATGACATAATTACAGAACAAAATAAATAAATAATAAAACGCTTCAAGGACGACTTGGACGTGTTCTTTAGTGTCAGATCGGGAATTCGTATCGACAGTTACTCAAAATCAAGGGACTACGACGAAGTTTTAGAGCTAAATAATGTGATCGTTACATCCCTAGTCTGTACACACCTACCCCAAGGTCCCCGGGAGGACGATCAGCCTTTTTGTGCTTCTTTCCAGGAGACCTGACGATGAGAAAGCTGGAGTGATGAGTTGATCTGGTCGAAATGAACCAGTTAAACCATTCCACTGGAGCTAAAACACGATCCCCATTCACTATTTCCCTTGGTTTTTGTTATGCACCAGGTTTTATTGGGTTGTATTCAGGATCCAGATCATGACGGGTCTCGGCAGCAAGTTTCAAACATCCTGGACGAGCCCCCAGTTTTCTCATCCACTGCCCTAAAGCATTAAATGGACTTGGTTTTCTTTTAAATTTTAAATATTTGTTGTGCCCCCCACCACCACTCATGCACACTAAAACATCCCATCCATTTTTTTCTTTCTTTACTCAGTTTTAGTAAATCTGTGGTAAACAGACAATTAACGTACAAAAGTAGATCGCAACTTTTGGGCCATGCTGAATTTAGTAACAAACTAATCGGCCTCCATCAGGATTTTAGTTTCCACTCACTGGTGCTGCTAGTCGACGCTACTAAGGTTAACCCTACGTTGACAGGCTGTTTGTTTCATGATGTTTAAACGTGACTTTTCCACTCTTTCCAGACTTTTCTTCAGTGCAGAATCCTGATTCTCCTCCTCGGCTTCCTGCACCACACGCTAAAGACGACAGCGGTCGATTTATCAGCTTTGCCTCCGCTCCAGATGAGAGGCCGTGTTTACCCGAATCCCCACTCAACTCCCCCTCCTTGGATCCTGTAAACGGTTTGGTGTGCAGTCCCACCAAAGCCACACCCCTCCCACTTACACCCCCTGCTGAGAAAATCGAGTTGTCCCTAGACACGAACAGAAGCTCCTGTTTACCCACCGAGAACGCTCCACACCTGAAGAGAATCCAAGAAAGTGTGATGGACAGGGAAAGCGATCCAGCAGAATCAAAGCCTAGTGGACCCCCACTGGTCTCGGCAGCACCACCAACCCAGGCCAGGAGAGCCTTGTTTCTCCCTCCCACATCACGTTTACCAGTTAGACGAGCAAAACGTGAAGGGCACGTTCGAGCTGATGGTGCACTCCAGTCGGCGGTACCAGAAGTCTGTACAGACGCCACCACCAACGACCGCCTTTGGAGCAAACTGGAGCCTGGCAGCCACAGAGACAGCGTGTCCTCGTCCTCTAGCGTGTCCTCAAACGACACAGTTGTCGACCTCTCCCTTCCTAACCTGGCCCGAAGGAGCCTCTGCGTTCTGCCGGGTCCCAGCAGTTCCAGCTTCCGCCACTCGGCACCCATCTCCTGTGACGCCCCACGGGTTGGCAAGAGCAAGTCAAACCCCAACCTTCAGCAAAGTCCTAAAGATGAGCTCAAGCCCCGCCCACTACACCCAGCTCAGGATGGTCCTGAGGACCCACCTGGCAGACTGACGGAACGGAGACACACCTGGTGCCGGCTCTACATGGAGGGACTCAGACAGGCAGCAACAAAAAGTCCGCCCAGCCCATCTCCAACGTCTGCAGCTACGTCTTTAATGTCCAAAAGCCTCGGAGATCTGACCTCTGATGACATCTCCTGCAGCTTTGACAGCAAATACCGCAGCATCAGCCGCAGCTTCATCGTCCGGACCAGCAGAGGGCAGGTCCGGAAGGGCGACCCTCTGAGGTCCCGGCCCCAGAGCGACCTGACGGAGCAGCTGCGTAAGCTGACTGATGTGGAGCCCCTGAACCCAAATGACTTCTCCCCAGGAAACGCGTCCAAGGACTCCCAGGAGGAGAGTCCTGATGACACGCTGCTGAGACGCACCTCCTCCAGGAGTCAGAGCCGGGTCCGCTACATAGCAAACCGGGCCAAGAAGGCCCAGGAAAAGCAGAGGCTGCAGGGTCTGATCCAGGGCCGGAGTGCTAGCTTTAGCCTTACTGCTAGCCCCATAGAGGAGAGGGGGATCCCTGAGGGGGCGTGTTGTGTGGATCGGAGCCCCTGCAGCAGCCTGGACCTACTCGATCTGAGACCCCCCCTGGAATACCTCCCCGACTCAGAAAACAGTGAACTCTTTTTCATGCTCAAACTTTGAGAAGTCTGCTTCGGGACCGAGTGTGAGCAACACAGCGAGAAGCTCGTGTTGTACCGCTTACCCGAGAGCACATCCCAGACCCGGTTCCAGAACCCAGAACCCCAGGGATGGTTGGGTGCCTTTCCACGGCAGAAGCTGAACGCAGGCTTCAGGAGATGCAGAGGTTTCCAGGAACCAGGCCCCACGTTTGTTTGTTTGTTTTTATTTAACACTTTTTTAAACTTTTCGAGCCTCCAAACCAAGCCGGTTAGAAACGGATCAACAGTTTCAGTCCTGGTGGAGGTCCTGCATGAGCCGGGTTTTCTAAAGGAGCTAGCACACCTGCAGGATTTTATTTAGTAAAGTTCTTCTGGAACATTTTCTATCCTGTTTTCTGTCATCTACTCATGTCTGAGTAGTTTTTAGTAGCAATAGAGGCGAGGTTTTAATAAATGTTTTTTATGAGCCATGACATGAGTGCTCATGGGTCACTAGCAATATTCTGAACGTGTTAGCATGTTGTGATATTAAAGCTGATGTACAGTTTGATGCCAACAGATGAGGCTCGTCTTTTCGTCGCTACAGGAAATATTTTAATAGTTTTTATGCTGCAGCTTTGATTTTAAATGTGTTTTGTGGTTTTATTGTAAATGACTGAGCTGCCATTCGCTTGCTAGCGTTAGCTATAGCATGTTGTAGCGCTGAGGTCCTGTTTTTAAAGCAAAACGTCGCGTTAAGTCGAGTACTTTGTGTCGGCTGCATGCGGTTCATGCACTGGAATGGTTTTTCTGAGGCTTTGCTTTTAATTTACCGAGTTTTCTGTAAAGATCCACTGTTGTTTTCCTTTTGGGCGTTCCACAGGGCTTTGTGTCTGAAACGCCATGTTGTTCTTTTAACTGTAGTTAAACCAGAAGGGAACGATATGTTGAAGCACGTTTTGTCCACCAGCTGTTCTGTTCGTCCAGGTCGTGTGCCCAAAACCTCAGAGGACGAGCGATGTGTAGAAGTGACCTGAATAAAACTCAGAAACGACTGTTTTGTGTGGAATCTGTCTGGAGAGGTGGGGTTTGCTATCCCGTGGGCGGGGCTTACCGACGGCTGTTTCGCTGTGAAGACCATCCCGCATGCAAAAACTAAATATTTACATTTCTGTTCAGTCGTATTTAAACTTCTAACTAGTTTTGATAAAAACTGTCTAAAATGTAAGTTTTGTTCCTTTGGAGTTGATAAAACCAGCATTAATGGAGAAATCAGATTATAGGACCCACAGCCATCTCTGGGGTCAGAGGTCAGGCAGGTTCCTTCACCGTCTGCAGAAGCTCCAGATGGACTCCAGCAGCTAAGAACAGATTTCCCACAGGAATACCAGAACTGGGATCACCTTTCCTGGTCTGAGTCTGGATTTCTGCTGCACCCTAACCCGTCTTCTGATGCTCGGACCTCCACAGTCTCCAGGTCTCAGTCCAGAACCTGCGGGATGTGGGGCAACGGGAGCGTCTCATCACGGATGGAGCTGATGCAGTCGTGTCAGGATGGACCAGAACCTCGGAGGACCACCTTTTAGGGTCATGAAGCATTAAGGTGGTTCTGATGACTGAAGGGTGTATTTAGCATTATTTAGGCTAAACGCTCGAGAGCATGACAGGTGAGTTGCATGTTTCTGCCCCCCCCCCCCCCCCCCCCCCCCCCCCATGTACCCTGCAGACTGAGCCTCACTCGAGCTGACATGAACGGGCCTCTGGCCCCAGCTCTGACCCGGTCTGCTTGCTGCTCTAATTATGGACTCTGCTTGGGTCCGTTTACCAGCCGTCACCTCCCTGCCAGGAGGACGGACCCCCGCCGGAGCAGAAACAAAGAGGAGAAGCTGGACGAGTCGTCGGAGCAGAAGAAAAACATGTTTTTATTCCCAGATTCCATCTGAGGTTCCAGCTTTCACCTCCAGGTGAGGGCCAATAGCTGGGGAGTTTGTGGAGAACTCCAGGGAAAGCTTTCCCAGCCTTGGGAATCCTGACTCCGTCCTCCATCCTTTCTCAGGACACCGGTGTGTCACTCAGGGCCTGTCCCTTTGTGGGGCCTGTCCCCCCCAGGGCTGACGGCCACCTCCAGCGCTCCGTCAGATGCTGCCAGCCCTTCTTCAGCGCCACGGCCTCCGCTCCAGCCAGCACACAAACACAAAAGGCGGCTTCATTAGGATTCCAGGAAAGCCACCGAGTCCCTCTTAAAGCCGTATTTTTCCAGACGAGTTGGCATGTTTGGGTCGAACCGAACCTCCAGGCCCGTCTTGCTCTTCAGGCCTGACAGAATGTTTTTGTCTCCGGGGATGAATGCTGCTCCTCCTCCTCACCGTAAAATCGCTGCCTGCTTTCAAACGGATCGGAGCGAATGAATCCGTTCGGAGGATTCCTTTCCCAAAATAGGACGTAAATTATGAAGCTGTTTTCTGTTTCTGTCCAAGTTTGGACGCTTGAAGGCTTTCAGGCGGCTGCAGCAGGCCGTTTTTATTCTTTATTCAGACTTTAGATTGATGCTCAGGGGCCTCCATGTGGGGGCGGGGGATGTGCATGTTCTAGGGGCCCCGTATCGCCCCTCACACCTCTCTCTCTCTCTCTCTCTCTCTCTCTCTCTCTCTCTGCAAACACAAAACAGGAGAATCTGAAGGTAGATCAAACGTGATGGTTTTCATCTAAAACTCTGAGTCTGTTGTTCTCCAGCTGCATGAACATTCCTCCAGACCATCGCGGGTTGGACCTCCTCCCTCCTGGTCCCCCCTCCCTCATATAACCCCCTACAATCTCCACCTGGCTCCTCCCACCAGCTACATAAAAACACGTCTGGTTCCCCACATGTTCTAGGGGTCGTCTGTCCTGAACACGCAGCAGTTTCCTCCTCTGCCCGGTGAGACCTCCCTCATGTTTCATCTCCACAGTCTTTCTCTCATCAGCATCCGTCTCTGATCAGCTGTTGTTTTCCAGCGCTGAAGCAACATGAGCGTCTGTGTGGTTTGGTGTGCAGCGGCTTTGATGCTGCGGGTCTTGGCTGCAGGTAAGAAGAGCTCAGATTTCTGGGTCCGCCCTCCGGGTCCGTACGGGTGACCGAGCCGCTCCTGGTTAGTGTTTCTTATGAAGTTAGAGAACAGGATGTTCCCGATCCGCTGGAAACTCCTCTGGTGGACTTCTGTTTTACTCGTTTACATCTTAAAGTAAAAGCCGATGCACCGATTCAGGTCTAAGGGCCGATACCAACTCTAATTTGTCAGAAACAAAAAATTGGCTTTTGTGAATCAGCACTTGGTGAAAATTGTCTTTGGTCCGTTGAGCCAGAAAGAGAAAATCAAACTTTCTGTGTTTAAAACCACGGAATCGGCCGATCAGCTGACTTAAGGATCAGCTGATTTCTGTCAGAATCACTGGGAAAGACGTTCTACGCAGGACATTCAGTCCCCAGGCGTCCCAGCTTTACTCCCACGGACCACGAGATGGGTTTGAGACGGTGGAACATGCGAGAAATGTTGTGAATCCTGGAAAAATATGGAGTTTTAGTTTGAATCCAATAATTTATGTGCAAAATAATTCAAATCCTGTCAGACCTCAACATTCTCAACTTTAACACAACTTTTCCTGAACGGGAACTGTTGGAAAGCTTAAATGAACAGAATTGGCCGTAATTAGTTCATTTTTCCCGGTTTTATTTAATATTAGATGAATTTTCCTCCGTTTAAAGTCCGCCGCTGTTGAACGTCGATCGTTACTTTAGCGGTTAGACCCGGCCAGAAGCCTTTAGGGCTGTCTGGGATCCAGGATCTCCTCCCAGTAAAACCACCTCCTCCAGCAGGCTCTGGGTGACCTTTGAGACAGGGTCACGCTCCCAAATCAATCCCTACATTTTCCCAAACTGGCCCTGCCGGACTTCTGGAGTCTAATCAAAGCCTAGAGGGGGGACCATCCTCTGAGTCAGAGCCCAGTTTCTGACCCGCTTCAGTCCAGAAATGAATCAATTAACCCCGGGGGTGGGGGGGTGGGGGTGACAGGCATCTCCGCAGAGCTTAGGTCCTGCCATCTTCTCCAGAGGAGGCTGATGGAGTGTCACGGGTTCTGTATCGTCCAGACGGGCCGGCTTTTGTCCCCTGGCACCTCCGCTGGTCTCCTCTGACCGGCCCTGGCAGCTCTTGTTGGGTCCTGCTGGTCACGCTGGGAATGGCATCGGCCCGATATGGCTAAACGAAAACCGTTGTGAGTGTCGGGAGGCCTGAAAGGAGACGTTTGGCTCTGATTACACACTGGATGGAGAGGTCCGAAGGACAACGGGTTCTGACTTTCATCCCCTCATGGGGGCCTGGTGCCCCCCCTCCACCTTAGCTCGCAGCCTCCCCTCAGTATGGAGCCAATTTCTCAAGTCTCCTGAAAAACAACCGGACACAAAACCGCCATTGTCCTCCGGAGGCTCTTTGGCTAATTTACCGCCGTGGCTTTGAGAGAAACACATGAAGGGGACTCGAAGCAACAAAACACTTCATTAGCTTTCAGGAGTCGTTCCGCGCTTTCGCTTGTAGACATAAAACTACAAACCAGCGGCCAGAGATCGGGCCGGATCCGCTCGTTTAGTCCTGATTCTCATGCTCAATCACAACAACACGCTGCTGCACACAAACCTAAACGCTGTTTTTGTCTCTTCTAGATGCCAAGGAGCTGACCATCACCACCATACAGGTATCCCGCCTTCCCCCTTCAGACCAGCTCAGTCAGATTAAAGGAGGAAGTCCGGATTTCACCACGACTTCGTCAACAAAGTCTTTAATCACACAAGTTTAAAAACTTTACCCTAACCCATGTTTTAGCGTCAGTTTGTAGCCCTGAAAGAAATTTAGTTTTTATAAAAATAAGCTAAAAATACCTACAACACTCTAATTCTGTTAGCATATTAGCTTATTAACATGGCTATTAGACTTGCAAAGGCAGCATCTAGATCAGGGGTGTCCAATCCTGGTCCTGGAGGGCCGGTGTCCTGCATGTTTTAGTTTGAACTCTGCTTCATCACACCTGATTTCAATCAGCAGCTAATTAACAGGCTTCTGCAGAGCCTGGTGAGCTGCTGCACAGGTGTTTCAACCACTGAATCAAGTCTGTTGGAGTAGAAAAACCACAAAACCTGCTAGATACCGGCCCTCCAGGACCAGGATTGGACACCCCTGATCTAGATCATTTAACAAAATTCTCAGGTAAAACAGAAACTTTACCTGTTTTGATGCTTAAAGAGTAAATAATGGTGATGTAGAAGCTAACACGGTTGATTCTGCTGCTAGCATGTGACCAGAGCTAATGCGGCTAACGTGCTACCTTCCACCAACATTAGCTAGCGTTTGACTGAAATGATGTTTCATGTGGAGTTAAAATGATAGAAGAGTTTTATCGGGAGGTCTCGCTGCTTCTGGGTGTTTTTTTGTTTTGGGGAGGGGTCAACATTAGGTTTGTTGTAGGTGAAGCTTCGTTTCAAAGTTAAACCTTTTTTTTTTTTTTTTTAGAATGTTTTATTACATTAGGGGCGGGGATTAAGAATGGTTATTTGGCATCCCCTGGTGGTGATGTGTGGTTAGTGCATCAGAAAACCGACGATGCGCCCCACCTGCTGCCACTGCAGCTGACAGCAGGGGCGCCTCCAGAAAATGTTGATAGGGGTGGCCAGATGGGGCCAAAGACATTTTTTGCAGTGGCACAACAAGTTGGTCCTTGTGGTAACTCTGGGAGAGTTTAGCCTGTGGCGATGTGCTGCGTTGTGTCTTTATTCATTTTTATTAAAATAACAGAACGTTTTCAAAACATTTAACTTAAATTTTACAAACAAAAACATTTCAGTTATTTGAAATGTTATTCCAAATTTAATTCAAACATGTATTTTTAGGTTAATTCACCTGTTGCTGTGTTAAACACACAATGGAGATAAAAAAAATTTAAATGGTGAACTGCAGAAACATATGTATTTTTTTAATTCAGATTTTTTTTTACTCATTAATTGTAATATTTTATTTTGTTTTAAAATTATAACTTGAATAAACAAGATCAATATGTGGTTTGACTGAACATTAATATGATTTGTTAACACTGGCTTCTCCTGGGGGGGAGGGGGGCAGCAATTTTTTAGGGGTGGCCATGGCCCCCTCGGCCACCCCTTGAGGGCGCCCTTGGTTGACTGTAGCGATCTGTCATGTTATGTAGAAACTCACCTGAAAATGGCCGAAACCAGCAGCCTTAAGACTTCATCGATCCCTCAGTGGAGACGTTTCTGCGTTACTACGGCTCAGATAGCTAAGTAGTAGAGAAGTGACCAAGCATGCAAGAATACCACTAAACTAGCCCCCCCCCCCCCCCCAAAAAAAAAGGTTGGTCAAGCTCATGAAAAGATCCTCATCTTTTGTATCAAGGTCTTCAGTTTAAGAGGATCAAAGCGCGTTAGTTTGAATCACTTCCTGTTTACTTGGACTCTCGTTTTGCCAGGATGAGCCGTACGCCATGACCAAAGGTTCCCAGATGGAGGGTTACTGCATTGACCTGATTTCAGAGCTCTCCAAGCAGCTCGGCTTCACGTACCGGGTCCAGATGGTGAAGGATCACCGGTACGGAGCCATGGATGCAAATGGGAACTGGAACGGGATGATCGGGGAGATTATCAGAGGGGTAAGTCGGTTTGGATCAACACCATCAGTGAAGAGGGACAACAGAGGCCTGGTCCAGGATGGACTCGTCCTGAGTGACATGGGAGAGTGGGCGTGGCGGGAGAGGGAGGCTGTTCTAGTGAGGAGAAGACGGGGGATGTGTGTGAAGGGTTAGGGTCGTGCTAACCTCACCTGTGTCTGTCCCCGCCCACAGGAAGCAGACCTGGCTGTGGCCCCGCTGACCGTCACGGCCGTCAGAGAGCATGTGGTGGACATGACCACGCCCTTCATCCACACCGGACTCAGCTTCATCATGCGTAAAAGCAGCAGCTCGGGCTCCAGCGCCTTCAGCCTGCTGTCCCCGTTCTCCAGCGACATGTGGGCCGGGGTTCTGGTGGCCTTCCTGCTGACGGCTCTCTGTCTGTTCCTGGTGGGAAGGTGAGACTCATCTTCCTCCTCCAGTCAGATCCACCTTGACCCGAACGGAGAGGAGTTCACTAGCGACACCGAAAGGTTCATCCGATTCAGAGTCAGAGATAAAATGTCTGAGTTTTAGTGTCAAAGCTGTTCAAGAGGAACAGAAATGTTAAAGCTGCCGCCAGAGGCTCATCAGGGCCACCCTAGTAGCCAGCAGAAACAGGAATGTGTGATCTCATACCTTTCAGCCCAATTTCTGTAAACTCGACTGATTTAGAAGATCCGGTTCAGGAGATTATTTACCAAGAGAAATATTAAAAACAGGAAACTCGATCTCAGCCAGACTAAAGCTGTAGGAACCACGCAGAGGTTATTGTTCAGAAACGAGGAACGTCGGAAGCTCCTGGTCTGTGTTTCCTTGCAGGATCAGTCCCACGGAGTGGGCCGAACCGGAGAAGGACGAGCACAGCTTCACTCTGCTGCACAGCCTCTGGTACATCACCGGAGCGCTCGCCCTGCAAGGTGACCCGACCCGAAACGTGACACTTTCCTCCTCCGTCAGGATTTCAAACAGTCCACATGGACTCGTTAACAGGCTGGACTTAGTTTTCCAGGTTTTTTTTGTTTGGGATCTGGATCATGAGTTCTGCCCCCCACCCCCCAGGTGCCGGTCCACATCCCAAAGCCCTGTCTGGACGTGTCGTTGGCGCCATCTGGTGGCTGTTTGCGGTGCTGCTGCTCGCCTGCTACTTTGCCAACTTCCACTCGGTTCTCCACTCGGAGCACAAACACATCTCCATCTCCAGCTTCGAGGACCTGGCCAACCAGGACGTGGTGGACTACGGGACGATTCAGTCCGGGTCCTCTATGTTGTTCTTTAAGGCACGACCTGGTTCTCCGTCCCCGGTTCTGATTAGTTCAAGTCCTGCTGGAATGAATGAATGAGTCTGTTTTCTGCCGCAGAACTCCAACAACCCGGTTTACCGGCGGCTCTACCAGCACATGGAGCGGAAGAAGAGCTACGTGAGCTCCACCAGCGAGGGCTTCCGCCGGGCCCAGGAGGGGAACTTTGCCTTCATCGGGGAAGCCGTGTCCCTGGACCTGGCCGTGGCCCGGTACTGCACCCTGACCCGGGCTCAGGAGATCATCTCCATGAGGTCCTACAGCATCGCCGCACCTCTGGGTGAGGAGTTGGAATTAGTCAGGATCACACGTGATTCCAGGGAATCTGTTAGGGATGAACCTCCTGGTTGTGTTCCAGAACCAGAACCAGAATAAAGCTGAAGTCACCAGGCGTGACGCTCTTAAACCACTTTTTTACTATAAGAATTCTACCTTTTCAGGTAATTTCCCACAAATTCATCCCTAAATTCCCAAATGAAACACTGAAATGGGAACGTCTTCCAGGTTTTTACTTTAGATGATCCTGAATCGGGATCAGGAAGAACCTTCATGGAGGGTCCGGGGGAATGTCCTGGCTCTGTCCCGAGATTCCTCCTGGTTCCTATAAAACTTCCTGCTCAGACCTCCGCCCCGCTCCGAGTTTCCTCCTCAGGAACTCGGACCTGGTGGAGCAGAGTCTCATCCCGATTAGATCTGCCACCAGATTCCCATCCCTGAAGGATCCCAAACCGGACCTCCGTCCTCTCCGGGACTTGTTTAGATCGAAACGCCACAGACCGGATCTGAGACGAGAGGACAACCTGGTGGGGTCCTGAGGGATCCGGTCCGGATTCATCTGGATCTGCGATCATCTGAGCAGTTTGATAGTTGGGACAAAGGCTCCAGAACCTGGTGGGATTCTCCACAGGTTCTGTCCCGGTTCTCACGTGCGTTTAGGATGAAAGAACCTCTAAGAAGTTTCTTTCCTCTCTAACGTCTTCATCCTGGACCAGGATCCCCGCTGGTGAAGAACCTGACCATCGCCATCCTGAAGCTGAGCGAGGCAGGTGAGCTCACACACCTGAGGGACAAATGGTGGGCCAGCAGCTGCGTCGGTACCGACGACCACCACGAGTCCGAGGCGCTGCAGTCCCACGACCTGCGGGGTCTCTTCCTGCTCCTGGGTCTGGGTCTGGCTGTGGGACTCCTGCTGGCCCTGCTGGAGCTCCTGTCCAGGGCCCGGAGCCAAGCCAAGGCTGGGAAGGTAGGGAAGGGAATTCTTCAGGCTGGGGTTGGGCCGGATGGTGGTTCTGTTGGTTAAGTCTTCCCTGTTTCCCAGAAATCCTGCTGCTCTGTTCTGACGTCGGAGCTGAACCGGCGGTTCGGGAGCAGAGGGGAGGTGGAGGAGCCGGAGAGGTCGGAGAAAAGCAAAGCGTGAAACATGGAACGTCAGTGGGAATCTTTGGGTTTTCTCTAGAAGCAGATGCGTGTTTTTTTTTTACGTCTGTAGGAAAGTTCTGGTCCGTTAGCAGAACCCAGAACCTTTAGATACTAAACCCCCTTCTGTCATTCCTAATGGAACCGCTTCCTTGTCGGGCGGAACGTTGTTGTTCTTCTGTGGAAATTTCTAAATAAACGTTCCAACGCTCCTCTGGGAATGTTTTCATCCTTTCAGCAGGTAGAACTGGTTTCGTCCTTCAGTCTGGGGGCTATCCAGCATGTTTTTGTTGTGTCCCTGCTCCAACACAGCAGGTGAGTTGGAGCAGGGACACAAGGGAAACATGCTCCAGGACTAGGCTTTCCTAACCCGCTCATTTCTAAACAACTGCAATAATAATAAAGCTAATGTCCTCGTTTCTATGGTGACTTTACTCCTGATCCAAATGGAATATTATGGGATTCATAAAACAGCTTCACCTGTTTGTTCGTCTGTTTCTATGGAGAATAACCTCTGTCCTCGGGATCCAAATGAAATCAGAAACGTCTGAAAACGAGGAAACGTGAGGTTTAAATGTTTTCATGAGAAAAAAGTCCGATAGCGAGAGGTTCTGTTTGAGGTTCTGTTTCTCACAAGCAGAACCTCAGGTGGAGCTGAAGTCCGGACAGAAGCCCGGGGAGCGACAACCATCACCAGCTGTGAAGTTTCAGCTCCTGTAGGGTAGCAGGACCTCCACCAGGAGGCGCTGCAGGACTTATTTTGACGTTAACCTTCCTTTCCATGATGGTTGAGAACCAGAACCAGAACCCAACTCAGTCAGCAAAAGTTAGTGGCTCATAAATAACCGTCACTGACACCGGTTCTGTGACGTCATATTTCAGTAACAGTCAGAAGCCCTCCCATTGGTCGGCCCTTATCTCAACAGCTGTTCATAATTAAGGAAGTTACAAATGACCTCATTACTATTTTATGGTCCAACTTGTATAGAAGCTCATTAAAGCAGTTAGAAGACACGATGAGTCATAATCAAGACTTCTGGTTTTCTGCAACGCCCTTCTCAGGATAAAATCACCCGGAACAAGAGAAAAATGTCAAAAATTGTCATTATTTAAATACATTAAAAGGAGAATTTCATACAATTAAATAAAAAATGAGAAGAAAGAAAGAAAATTAATAATAAAAGTGAATACAGGATCCCTGGAAAGCCGGAACCAGGAGAGGGTGGAGATGAAGCTCACACCAAACCTGAACAGGTGAGTTTAAAGGAGACCACTGAGTCCACTGATCTCAGGCTCAGGGGGAGAGAGTTCAAACATGAGTTTAACGTCATAAATCAAACATCGCGATCTTGTTTGGAGCTCCTGATCGTCTCTAAAATCATCAAATCAATCAAATCAAATCAAAGATACTTTATTAATCCCAGAGGGAAATTAGAGTTTCACCACACACAGCTCAGAGGTCAGACATACGTTTCAATTTCAGCCGTGAAGTGGAAAAAAACATGCAACCAACTTTTTTTGAGTGGCACAAATGGGCTTCCGTAGCGTGTGAAAACAGGCAAGATTAAAGGTGAATTAGAGAAAAATCTAAAGACCTGACCCGCGTTTATTTCTTTCTACTGAATCATGGTTCACCCTTCATGAATCACACAACCTGAGAGGTTTGTAGCACGAGCAGGTCAGGTCGTTTACATGTCCTCAGCAGGTCAGATCGTTTACACGTCCTCGTTTACACGTCCTCAGCAGGTCAGGTCGTTTACACGTTCTCAGCAGGTCAGGTCGTTTACACGTCCTCAGCAGGTCAGGTCGTTTACACGTCCTCGTTTACACGTCCTCAGCAGGTCAGGTCGTTTACATGTCCTCAGCAGGTCAGGTCGTTTACATGTTCTCAGCAGGTCAGGTCGTTTACATGTTCTCAGCAGGTCAGATCGTTTACATGTCCTCAGCAGGTCAGGTCGTTTACATGTCCTCAGCAGGTCAGGTCGTTTACACGTCCTCCGCAGGTCAGGTCGTTTACACGTCCTCCGCAGGTCAGGTCGTTTACACGTCCTCCGCAGGTCAGGTCGTTTACACGTCCTCGGCAGGTCAGATCGTTTACGCGTCCTCGGCAGGTCAGGTCGTTTACGCGTCCTCGGCAGGTCAGGTCGTTTACGCGTCCTCGGCAGGTCAGGTCGTTTACGCGTCCTCGGCAGGTCAGGTCGTTTACGCGTCCTCGGCAGGTCAGGTCGTTTACGCGTCCTCGGCAGGTCAGGTCGTTTACGCGTCCTCGGCAGGTCAGGTCGTTTACACGTCCTCCGCAGGTCAGGTCGTTTACACGTCCTCCGCAGGTCAGGTCGTTTACACGTCCTCGGCAGGTCAGGTCGTTTACACGACCTCGGCAGGTCAGGTCGTTTACACGTCCTCGGCAGGTCAGGTCGTTTACACGTCCTCAGCAGGTCAGGTCGTTTACACGTCCTCAGCAGGTCAGGTCGTTTACATGTCCTCAGCAGGTCAGGTCGTTTACATGTCCTCAGCAGGTCAGATCGTTTACACGTCCTCAGCAGATCAGGTCGTTTACACGTCCTCGTTTACACGTCCTCAGCAGGTCAGGTCGTTTACATGTCCTCAGCAGGTCAGGTCGTTTACACGTCCTCAGCAGGTCAGGTCGTTTACACGTCCTCAGCAGGTCAGGTCGTTTACAAGTCCTCGGCAGGTCAGGTCGTTTACGCGTCCTCGGCAGGTCAGGTCGTTTACGCGTCCTCGGCAGGTCAGGTCGTTTACATGTCCTCGGCAGATCAGGTCGTTTACACGTCCTCAGCAGATCAGGTCATTTACACGTCCTCGGCAGGTCAGGTCGTTTACATGTCCTCAGCAGATCAGGTCGTTTACACGTCCTCGTTTACACGTCCTCAGCAGGTCAGGTCGTTTACACGTCCTCGTTTACACGTCCTCAGCAGGTCAGGTCGTTTACAAGTCCTCAGCAGGTCAGGTTGTTTACATGTCCTCAGCAGATCAGGTCGTTTACACGTCCTCGTTTACACGTCCTCAGCAGGTCAGGTCGTTTACACGTCCTCAGCAGGTCAGGTCGTTTACACGTCCTCGGCAAATCAGGTCGTTTACACGTCCTCGGCAAATCAGGTCGTTTACACGTCCTCGGCAAATCAGGTCGTTTACACGTCCTCGGCAGATCAGGTCGTTTACACGTCCTCGGCAGGTCAGGCCGTTTACACGTCCTCGGCAGATCAGGTCGTTTACACGTCCTCGGCAGATCAGGTCGTTTACACGTCCTCGGCAGGTCAGGTCGTTTACACGTCCTCGGCAGATCAGGTCGTTTACACGTCCTCGGCAGATCAGGTCGTTTACACGTCCTCGGCAGATCAGGTCGTTTACACGTCCTCGGCAGATCAGGTCGTTTACACGTCCTCAGCAGGTCAGGTCGTTTACATGTCCTCAGCAGATCAGGTCGTTTACACGTCCTCAGCAGATCAGGTCGTTTACACGTCCTCGTTTACACGTCCTCAGCAGGTCAGGTCGTTTACAAGTCCTCAGCAGATCAGGTCGTTTACACGTCCTCGTTTACACGTCCTCAGCAGGTCAGGTCGTTTACAAGTCCTCAGCAGGTCAGGTCGTTTACATGTCCTCAGCAGATCAGGTCGTTTACACGTCCTCGTATACACGTTCTCAGCAGGTCAGGTCGTTTACACGTCCTCAGCAGGTCAGGTCGTTTACATGTCCTCGTTTACACGTCCTCAGCAGGTCAGGTCGTTTACACGTCCTCGGCAGATCAGGTCGTTTACACGTCCTCGGCAGATCAGGTCGTTTACACGTCCTCAGCAGATCAGGTCGTTTACAAGTCCTCGGCAGGTCAGGTCGTTTACGCGTCCTCGGCAGGTCAGGTCGTTTACGTGTCCTCGGCAGATCAGGTCGTTTACACGTCCTCGGCAGATCAGGTCATTTACACGTCCTCGGCAGGTCAGGTCGTTTACATGTCCTCAGCAGATCAGGTCGTTTACACGTCCTCGTTTACACGTCCTCAGCAGGTCAGGTCGTTTACAAGTCCTCAGCAGATCAGGTCGTTTACACGTCCTCGTTTACACGTCCTCAGCAGGTCAGGTCGTTTACAAGTCCTCAGCAGGTAAGGTCGTTTACATGTCCTCAGCAGATCAGGTCGTTTACACGTCCTCGTTTACACGTCCTCAGCAGGTCAGGTCGTTTACACGTCCTCGGCAGATCAGGTCGTTTACACGTCCTCGGCAGATCAGGTCGTTTACACGTCCTCGGCAGATCAGGTCGTTTACACGTCCTCGGCAGATCAGGTCGTTTACACGTCCTCGGCAGGTCAGGTCGTTTACACGTCCTCGGCAGATCAGGTCGTTTACACGTCCTCGGCAGATCAGGTCGTTTACACGTCCTCGGCAGATCAGGTCGTTTACACGTCCTCGGCAGATCAGGTCGTTTACACGTCCTCGGCAGGTCAGGTCGTTTACACGTCCTCGGCAGATCAGGTCGTTTACACGTCCTCGGCAGATCAGGTCGTTTACACATCCTCGGCAGATCAGGTCGTTTACACGTCCTCAGCAGATCAGGTCGTTTACACGTCCTCGTTTACACGTCCTCAGCAGGTCAGGTCGTTTACAAGTCCTCAGCAGATCAGGTCGTTTACACGTCCTCGTTTACACGTCCTCAGCAGGTCAGGTCGTTTACAAGTCCTCAGCAGGTCAGGTCGTTTACATGTCCTCGTTTACACGTCCTCAGCAGGTCAGGTCGTTTACACGTCCTCGGCAGATCAGGTCGTTTACACGTCCTCGGCAGATCAGGTCGTTTACACGTCCTCGGCAGATCAGGTCGTTTACACGTCCTCGGCAGATCAGGTCGTTTACACGTCCTCGGCAGATCAGGTCGTTTACACGTCCTCGGCAGGTCAGGTCGTTTACACGTCCTCGGCAGATCAGGTCGTTTACACGTCCTCGGCAGATCAGGTCGTTTACACGTCCTCGGCAGGTCAGGTCGTTTACACGTCCTCAGCAGGTCAGGTCGTTTACACGTCCTCGGCAGATCAGGTCGTTTACACGTCCTCAGCAGGTCAGGTCGTTTACACGTCCTCGGCAGGTCAGGTCGTTTACACGTCCTCGGCAGGTCAGGTCGTTTACACGTCCTCGGCAGGTCAGGTCGTTTACACGTCCTCGGCAGATCAGGTCGTTTACACGTCCTCGGCAGGTCAGGAGGCAGAACC